AAACTACCAAGCCAGTGATTATCAACCAGCATGCCATGGCACCCTAAGGTGTCCTGAGATCCTTTCAAGCATGCCACACAGTGTTAATACTGTTAGGTGTGCACACATGATGCATAAGATAGAACCTGAGATTTCAAATAAGACTCCATAGCTTTAAAAACATTTTTCCCTGTTGTGATCTTTCTGAGCTCTCTACAACAGAAGAATTATTCTATTATTTTTCTGTAGTCTAAATATGAGTGAAAACTAAGAGCTGGCATTTTCCAAGGGGTGCCTTGAGTTGGATGAGTGGTCCTTGAGTCCTAAAAGATTGAGATTAACAGGTTGGAGCCTGATGTCTTCACCCCGTTATGGTAATATAACATGCAACAGAATGGAAAATTAGACCTTGATTTTTTTTTTAAAACCAAAATGTGTTACAATTTTAATACTGTTGGGCAATGTAGGCATTAGAACTCACATTTTTTTCATTTTACAGGACTGATTTTAATATGCCAAGAATGATTTGAACATATCATTGTCTTCCAGATACTTAATAAAAGCACTGAGGCTCTGGAATTTTAGTCGCCTAGTTACATTTCCATGTTAAGTGTCTCCTGGCTGCCAGTGGCACAGATAGTTTTATTTTTTAATTTATTGCATCATCCTTTGTTTTTCCAACATTTCAGCATTATCGATTTAAAAAAAATTCTGGTATTTTAACAACTTGATTATTAAACAACTAACAATTATGTTATGAAGATACTGCTAAACTAAGAAATTAGGAGGACTCCACTCTTAATTAAGAGTAACCACTCTTCCTCTCCACAATGTTTCCTTTCTTAGAGTAAGAATACTACTACCTTAAAAAAGACTTAAGCTAAGACAGCATGTAGAGAAACTGGAAGAAAAGGAATGAGTTACAAAAGAAAGTCAGTCAAATGTCTGTACTTTAGGATAGTTGGTATATGTATGGTTTGGTACCAGAATGGATGTATTCTGCAGATCTATTTTGTGGCTGTCTCTTCCTGCATCCCGTATTTACATACTTGCATCCTCTCACTCTTTTTATTTCCCATTGTCACATGCACTGTCCTTAACTACTTCATCATGTGCTTCACTGATTTTTTTTCTTTATTATTAATCTGACCTTTTCTATAATCTCTTCCCACCTGCCCCTTTCTTATTTTGCTTCTCCCCCTTCACTGTTTATTTGGTTGCTTCCCATTCCTAATTTCTTCCCTTTTTCCTTTCTCTCTCCCCAGCTGTCTGACTTCCTTTTTCCTTCCCCAACGGGCAGTTTTTTTCCTAAATCTGTGAATCCCCTACTGCTCCTTCCCTTTTCCCTACTCCTGATTTGTGCCAAGCAGCTAAATGAAAATAACCAGCTGTTAGCAGAGTAGTGGAAGCACTTCGGAGCTGGTTAGTTTCATTCCCAGATTTGTTACTCCACTATGGAATGGGGGAGTGAAATTAACCAGCTGTGAATTGTTTCTACTACTGAGTTTCACAGCTGGTTAATTTAAATTAGCTGCTCTACTCCGTACAAGAGCAGAACAGAAGAGTGTGCTGGGCAGAGAAGACTGTTATTCCATTGCACTAGCATGAACTATGAAAGCTTACCCCTGCTATAACGCTTATTATGTTTGTGGTAGTAAATGCTGTAATTAAGGCTGAAAAGACATTTCCATTTAAACCCCTTAGCTTTGTTCAGGCATAACTTTTTAAAATACTTTCCCATAAGCTTAAAACTTCTATTTTCCAAAGGTGACCTTTTTGAGAGAATTTGAGTAACACCAGTTTAGCTGTTAAATTACAGGAGGGTTGCAGAAGACTGTTCCAGCTGTAATGATATTCTAATAGTCATGCACTATTAGAAATGTTAAGTTAATCATTTAATGAAAAAAACATTTGAAAAGTAATTAAGTTTAGGCCGCGACATGTGCATGAGCAATGTAAGCATTTGGTGACTTTGTTGTAAATAGCAACACTGTGGTAGGTACACAATGTTACTTATTAAATGGATAGTAGGTAAAATATTTTGGGAAAATTGAGATTTGGTACTTGCATCCTGAAGCGGTACTCCCAGGCTGCTGAGAAAAATATAGTGGCATACTGGCCTGCCAGAGTGCCTTCTATCCCGGTGAGTGGTGAAACACCAGGCCTCATATTCTGAGTCTCATCTACACTATTACATTAAAAAAAATGTATAGCGTTAATTATACCAAACTTCAATAGCTTCATAAAACTTGAAGGAAAGTTTATTAGTTTTGATTAGTTCTGATTGCTTCCCTTTTATAAAGAAGCTGTTTCAGTCCAATTACAATACTGATCTCACACAAGTTCCTGTTCAATAGACGTTAATACCTTTGCATTAGAAATTCAAGACCCATTTACCCTTTTCTTCCTTCAGGAAAAATTCTATTGATTACTAACTAATACCATTTGGCCTTGACTCTGAAAACACGCAAGCATAAAAGTACACTTATATCCACAAACAGTCATCCTAAAACTTACTGGGCTACTAATACGTGTAGAACTGTTGGCAGGTTTGAAACTTTTAAAATAAAGTTACCAAGAAACAAAACTCAGTTGTGAAGGTGAGATTTTCTCTCTCTCACATTTTAAAATGTTGTTTTGTTGTTGTTGGCTTGCTTAAATATAGTCAGCTTGTCATCTCATCAATTTAAATAAGTTTGAAATAGTTTCGGTTACACCTACTCACGAATCCTGCTGCCAATTTCTGTGGTTTAAGAATGTATTTTCCCATTGTCTTCATGAAAGTGAAAGATATGTCGAAATAAGGGAAATGAAGGCTCTGATCCTGCAGTTGGATCTGGCTGGGTAGATTCCTGCAGGCTGCATGATGGCAGAATTGTCCCCTGACTAGCTCTATAGAGGAAATGATGAGCCTGTCCAAAAATTGCTCTTCACTGCAGAAAATAAAATTCATTTTCTTCAGTCTTCCAGTTACAGCAATTTTAAGTGTTACTTTAAATTATAGCAGGTTTAAAAATAAATTCAGACATAACTGCTGTTTTTAAGTGGCTTGTGGCCCTTTCCCATATAATTAAGTAAAATGCCTGGCTCAGAGTTGGTAATAAAACTCCTTTGTCAGAAACTGAATATCCTCAATTAATGGTTAAGAAATGTTTCATTCCACATTTCTAGGTGCTCCAAAGGGAAATTTCCAATAACAGTGATGATTAGAAAACAAGAATATGGGGGAAGTCAAGTCTAAAGTCTTCAAGTCCGCTCAGATCTGGAAAGCTGCCAAGAGGCATGCCTTGCCCACTTTCTCTATTTTCAAAACCAGAAAGAGGGAGAGAAAACATGTTGAAGGTGTCCCCCAATGCTGAGTCCCTCAAGATGTGTTTCTAGTGGGCTTGAGAACAGCAGTGCGGGATGCCCCTCAGGGGATTTCACTGCCCGATTCCTGAGTTTGATGTGTGCAGTGTGAGTACGCCTGCTTCTTGGAGGCATTCTTAAGAGCATTAGGAAAATGGTATAGACTTACCTTTTCTTTGACCTGAGGCCTAGGATGCAAAGACAGAGTGGCTATTTTTTTAAAGCAATGAGTGTAGCTTATACTGTAGGTTTAAGCAGTGACTTGTACTGATGCAATTTACATCAGTACAGTATTGGTAGAAGCTGGTATTAGTGTAACATCCCACTAGTTACATTATTGTCTAATAACCCCAGCATAGACGAGGTCCAACATTTTCTCCACTTAATTATAATGGGCAGCTGTAGTTCTTTCTACATAGGGAGATATGTGGCTACCAAGGAAAACAGATTCTTTTTACTACCTCAAGACAGTGACTACCAAAATCAGGTCAGAAGTAGGGGCGAGATGAAGAAGCGGAAGTGCAAGAAAGATGCCATCACATGCTTCCATCCCAACCTTACAAACTCCCAAACCGAATGGGCCTAAAGATCCAGCCCAGCACCTGGACAATTCCTGGGCAGTTAGCACCTTGCTTTTTCAGGGACACCCTAGCAGTAGCACAGCCTGGGCAGCACCAGGGGAAAAAAGGAAGCAGCCAGTTGTCAGCCAGATTCCAGGCTGGACAGGGAGTTGGAAAGAAGGCATTTCCTTGCCAGCTGAACAGGGTTTCAGCCAGAACAGGGTGGGGAAATGGGAAAGCACTTTCCCTGAGCCTGAGGAAGAGCATGTGCACCCAAAAGCTTGCAGAAAAAGATATATATTTTTTGTGATTTCTTACTTGGTCTAATAAAAGATCTCGCCTCTGAACCAAGAGTTCTGCATTCCTATTGCCTGTGGGGCAGTGCTCACCCCACGCCACAAGCAGGGGAGCGACACGTCACTGCGGAGCAGCCGGCAACCTCTGCTGAGCCGTTACCTCTGACTGGCTGAACTGAGAGACAATCATGGGAAGCTCCTCTGTAGCTTGCGTCTGCAGCCATATGGCTGAGGGCCGGCAAAACCTGGGGGCCTCTGAACCCCAAGTCTCTGGGCTCAGGCCTGTACGTAGGATGCCTGCCAAAAGACTTTGGAAACATCTGAAGCCCCTGGTTGCAGGACTACTTACTCGCCGGCTGTAGGACCACTTACGGGTCTGAACTGACTCACGGATTTGGACTTGATTTGGCTTCAAACACAAAACATTTAAAAAACAAAACAATCTCCCAAGTCCCGCCCCCTGCCAAGGAAGCTCGCTGCAGCCCCGCAGCTCGACCTCCAGCTCCCTGCTCCGCCGGGCCCAGCCCCACCTTCCCCACGTGCCACAGCGCACAACACGCGAGGCACCGCCCAGCTAAAGCCCCTCCCACAACGGGGCGGATCCTAGTTAAGCCCCGCCCCTTGGAAGCCTCCCCCTTGGAAGGCTACTTGAGTGGGAGGAGCCCGCGCGCGTGCCCTTTCACCCCACGCCCCTTAGTTACCACGCTGCGCGTCACGGCGGGGCTAAACCATTGCCGCGCCAAGTGCCCCGGGCCGTACTACTGCCCCTCAGGAGCTGGC